GCTCACGGAGCGCTTTGAAAGTTCCTGTGGGTCAAGCAGCTCTAGCGTGTGCTGAGCCCATGGGGGTGAGCAAACCTGGAAATATTTAGGTTTACAGATCTTTTTTTTTCATCCTAACGTAAGGTTCATTTTTAAAGAAGAAATGAATAACTTCGTGCTTCACCGCAGTATCTGCTGCAATGCAGACAGGGCTCCTGGCTCGCCGCGTCGCCGGCCTGCTATTCCTTCAGCAATGCCAATTCCACAACCAGCGCTCCTGCCGCACAAGCCAAAACAAGGTTTTTGTGAGGATTTTGCCATTGCAGACATTCACCCTTGCTGTCAGGCAGAAGAGGGAAGGTAGTGGAGATCCCTACACCGTGGCTTGCCCTCCCTCCTTCACTGCTGGTGTTGGTGGTCCTGGTTCTTTGCCCCAGTCCCCCCCGGCCGGATGGGAAGGAGTTGGGATGATGCCTTCCTAAATCATCCTGTGCCAAGGGTGCATTTCGGTTTGTGACACACAATAAGACTACGGAGGGGAGTGAGGCAAAACATTGAAGCCAACCTTAACCCCACTGGTGCCCATAGGGGTATCACCTCCCTAAGCTTCCCCTGTGGGAGGGCACTCACTGCCCCCCTGGGAGGTGGTTTGGCTTATGAAGCCTGCCGAAAACATTTCCATTTTCCATTTGTGGGCAGGATTTTTGTCTTTGGTTTAGTTTGGGAGGGGCATGGAGGGGGGGGGGTTAGCTTTCTCCTGGTAGGCAGTGGATTTGCCTGATGGGAGGTGTGGGAGCAGGGGAGAGAGGACTGTGGCAGAGGAGAGCGGGAGGGAGACCCTCCCCTCGCGCAAGGGCTCGCATTGGTGGGGCTGTACCCATGGGCCCTGCTCCTTGCTCCTCCCACGCAGCGATGGACAGAGGAGGTCAACGGAGGGGATGGGATGAGATCAACTGACTGGTGAGAACTGGGGGTGGGGAGAGTTGGGGAGGGTGGGGTGGGGCTTTTTCCCCTTAAGTCCCAACATATGTTCAATAGAAGTTCTAAAGCTGGCAGTTCGGGGTGAGCGTGGGACTGACATAGAGCAAATGCAACACGAACAGGCAAAAATGATAATGAAATTACATTCATCCCCACTTCTACCGTCTCCATGTTGTCAAATTCAGTAAACAAGCGTACGAAGTAACCCAGCTCCCAGCAGAGCTGGCAATAGCCTTTTCTTTCCATTTGATGGAAAGCCTAAGCTGTTTTTAGGTTGGAGAATGCATTTTCCTGTAATTTCCCCTAACACGTTTATGAGTTATGCACGAGATCTCCAACACTCAGGAACTGTTCTACCTTTAAAACCTTTGCTGGATTCCCATTGTGACCCTTGGAAGAGGAAACAAGCCCACGTCGGCTCCGGTGGAATGCTGTATTACCCAGAGCAGTGATTCCCTGCCTGTGCCTTAGGTACTGAGGGCACTTGGCCACGCAGCTTCTCACATGGGTGTCTCAGCTCCAGTCCAGAAGTCTGTTTTTATGGAAAAGGAGGGGCAGAAAAACTCCCTTCCCACTGCTCATGGAAAGCAAATAACAGTGAGAAAAGGGCTGATTCGCCTATTAAAATACACTCTTCTTTCTTTTAGCAGCTGACCTTTTTTAAATTTTTGAGTATTTTTCCCTGCTACAGTTATCATCCTAAATAACGCTAACCCATCTCACTGCTACCAACAGAGAGGCTTTACAGTGCTATGGAGAACTATTTTGAAGGTACAAATCACTTGACCTAAAGACTCTCCCTGGAGTGTCAGTGTTGTGCACTACATTTTCACTCTGCCAAACCTTTATTTAGCACATGCTAAAGAACATTTAACATTTAAAGATCCCCTCTGTACATCTTCTAAATGTCTCCATCCTTTGCTTTTAGATTAATATGTCTTCTGTGAAAATGAGATAATTGATTACAGAGCTGTATTATTTACAAATGAAGAGTTGTTCATGTATTGACCTTTCATTTCTATAGCTCAATACTAGTCCTTGTACAGCATTTTTAATTAGCAAAATGGAAACAGAAGAGGGAAGAAAAGAGCTATTGTGGATGTTTTTAATAAAATGAAACTTTAAGATAACTTGCACATTTAAAACTGAAAAAATTAATATTTGGTCAGAGGCTACATCCCATGTTTCTGTTTGGAAAGAGAAAGAAATCTGCTCCTGAAGATACCGCAAGTGGAAAGGCAGTGGGAAGGGGGTGAGCAGCAGACAGTAGCAAGCTTTTGTCCTTCACCCTGCTGTAGTAACTCCTCTGCACCAGGGGACTCATTTCAACCCAATCTCTTGGTGAGCAACCAGCAAATCCCACCTTAGCATTTCAAGATAAATGGCACCAGTAAAGTCAGGGAACTTGGGCAGGTACAGAAAAGCAAAGCTAGCAAACCCAGTGGTTGTAGAGCATTGAACAACATCAAAGATGCTATAAATGCCAAAGAGGCAAAACATAGCATTCCAAAGCAGGACAGGGCTACCTGGCCTGTATGGCCAGGCTGGATTAAGTAATGGTGCAGCCCAGAGCCTGGATGGGCTGGGCAGTAACTGGTCCAGGCAGCACTTTTGAACCCCATCCCTAGCCACGCCGCCTTGCACTCAACAGCTGTGAGCTCATGATGAGTCAAACCCAGCTGAAAGAGAGATAAAGAGTAAGGAAGCAGGAAAAAAAAAGATGAAAGACAGCATAAATTTAGTCCATGGGAGTTTGAGGTTTAAAAAGAAGTATGTTCTGCATGAGAGGGGGAAGGATACCTCGTGGGAGCCACTAACAAGCTTGGGAAATCTTTGGATTTCAAGAATAACCAGGGAAAACCTCTCCTGCCGTGAGTCTGACATAGTCCTAATGTAAATGCTTTGGTCTGTTTGTGTCTGGTTTAGTTTGACCTCTTAAATGAGTAACTGTTTCTAATGAACCTGGGGATTTTGATGAAGAGAAAGCATGCTGGAGGCAGGCAGCTATCAGTGGCATGCAAGCCAATCTGCTTACGGTGCTTGCTTAAGGTGGATGGTCAAAGGCGGATACTCTCAAAATGCAGGAAGCATAAACTTGCAATGCTTTAATTCCCACTAACACAAATAGACAAACAACAACAACAAAACCCCATAAAAATACCTAAATTCAACTGGGCAATGTGCTTCTAATAAAGCACCAGCCAGACAGAGCTGGTTTCAGGTTGAATCCACCACCCTTCCCTGGGAGGGTGAAGGAGGATTTTCCTTCATGGACGTCAATGAATTCAGACCCAGAAATAGTCGAAACATAAAGCAAATAATTTTGTTTCTCAATAACAAAGATGTTATTTAATATCCTCACAGCTATAAAGAAACTCTTGTGACTGCAGAAGAGGGGCTTTTTAAAATCTTTTTATTAATGCAACAGAAGCATATTAAAAATGTCTGTCATTGCAAGCCTGGAGATAAATATTAAGTTTGAATAAGGTCATCAAGGAAGGATAGAGGAAAGTAATTGAGGGAAGGTTTTAAGTGTGTTTTCAGCATCCTGTGGATGCAGACAAATCGTACCCGTCACTCTTCAGAGGGTCTGTTTTGGGGGACTTTTGTCACATGGTCTCACATGCACTGAAGCTATGAAAAAGAAAAAAACCACATCAGCATCTTTCAGCACACTTTGGGGAACCTGAACATGCTGCTTTGCTGGCTAAATTGTTTTCAGCAGGTACTTTGTCTGAAGCAGCTACTATTTTCTTGCTAAGGGACTGGTTCTGTTCCTCTCTAAGTACCATCATCTTCTGGCCCCAGAAGTGATACCCTCTTCTTTCTAAACATCTATTCAGTGACGTTGCAAGGAGCAAAATTAAATGTATATTCAAGGCAACGGAAACAATTCTGCTGTTTATAGTCAGGTCTCCCACTCAAGCTAAATCATACATCTAAAACACAATCCATAGTATTATTTTCCAGGAGGCTCCTGGCATCCCCATCTTCTGTCTGTCCCTATGTCTGTGTGGAAAGGTCCCTAAACAGGGCCCATCCACCTCAAATGACCAAATTTTAGCCTTCACCATGGCTGAAAATAGGAGATGTGGGGGTCAGGAGGGGGCTGGTGCTTGAGCACAATATATTCCATACATCCAGCTTGCTGGGCTAAGCAGGACGCGGGGACCCCTCAGATGTGGAGCCAATAGGGAGCACTCCGGCTACCTGGGATTTTATAAATCTTTCAGCTATCGGTCTTTCAGAGCTCCAAATGCAAAATCCAGCAGCACGGGATATCATGTGGATTTATGACTTGGGATTTATGAACTGGTCTGGATAAAATAAGAACTGCCTTGACATTAATTTTTTTTTTTCTGAGGTTTGAGGAAAAGAAATAGTAAAAAAAGGAAGACCTGATTTTTTTCCCCTTTGAAAGCTTGCTGTTCATACAAATGTAGATGGTTTGTATCTATTCAATTATTTGGGGTTTTCTCTTACTACCTGCGTGCTTCCTGGGGCTGGAAGTTGAGCAGCACAAGCAATGCTGCTCTCACAGGCCTTCCTGCCTGGCAGGAAACGCTCAAGAAAACACGGTCTTGAGGCACTCCCAGCCCTCAAGCAGCATTTCCCAGTGCTGCTCCTGGCATTGGGAAAGGTGCCGGTAGATGTTAGGGAGGTCTCTGGATGTTTCCAAGCAGCAGGATACCTCCCCATAACACCACTGCCTCAGCTCTCACTTGATTTCATCACTTTTCCCCTTAAATAATTTTGGATCCCTTGTTATTTCTCACTTGTGGCAAGCTGGGGCTTTAGGGGTGTGTGTATAACATGCACATGTAGATATGAGTGTACATTTGTGTCCGTGTGTGTACACATGCACCTATTAATGTGTGTACATTTGTACAGCTACAAATAGGCAATATGTACGTATATATGTATGCATGTACATGCCTAATTACAGCTGTATAAACATACATGTGCACATATACATTTATGAGAAAGTATTATGGATAAAAAAGTATCCTAATTTTTTGATCAGAAACCAAGACAGAAAGCAAAACCAAACATTTTATTGGTACTGTTGAACTGTATGTACTTTGCATGAGAGCCTATCCCGAAAGACTATCATGTAACTTATGGCTTTCCTTTTAATTTTTCTCATCTTACAAAGAAAGAAAAGATGGTGTTTACCTTGGCCAGGAGGAAAAACTGTCACTTGTATTTTTGCCACTTCTTGTGATTGACCCTTTCGTACCTCTGCCCACAGTTTGTGGGTGATTTTCTTCCTGGGATCCCAGAGGTCTGTGTATGAATAAAGCTCTTTGTTCTTTTATGGATAAAGGTACTCATTAGGAAAACAAACAAACAAATGTGTATTACTAGCCTTTCAGCCTGCCTTTCAACCTTCCCCATCCCCTTGGGCACAGATTTATCCATGTACTATCACTGCCAAACTGTGCCAACACCTTCACCCCAGGTTGCTGAAACCTTTGCATGCATCCTTCGCCTCCTCCCACCTTGAACTGACACCATGTAGATGCTGATAATGCTGTGTTTAACCTCTACATGAGACCTGCACACACTGGTGTCTCCTAGGGCTTCTACCAGCCTCCTAAGAAGTAAAGGGAGGCAAGGGAGGGTGATGTGATGAAGGCTACCTTCACCCCTTCACTCCTACCACCACTGGTGGTGCTCCAGCCACAGAGATGATGCCAGACCAGCACTAGGGAAAAGGGGATGATGCTCCCAGAGCAGCTCAAGTTTTGCTCTGTGGAGGAAAACTGCTTTTCCACAGCTTTTAACAAGCTTTTTCATCACGTCTGGTGCCTGGATAACCTAAGGTGAAGGTGCTCATCCTGGCCAAGAAGTTAAAATCAACTAATCAAACCTTTCCAACCCCTACCCTGTGGACCATGGCTTGGAAATGCAATAGGCTCAGTCCAAGGAATGTCAGCAGGTTACTCTTTCTGTGTCTGAAGTAAAACGTTTTGCTTAGATTTTAATTACCACGCATCCAGGGTGTTTTTCAGCTTGACTTGCATCCCAGGAATAACTTGATTTGGAGATTTTGTTTTAAATAAAATTAATCACATGGCTGGCACCCAGAGAAGGGCAGGTGGCTCTTGCTGTGACACTGGAGATGTGGTACTCCACAGCAGCAAGGGCTAGGGAGGACACCTGCAGAGATGTCCCACGCCTCTCACACCTCTCCCTGCAGCACAGAGCGCCAACAAAACCCACCAAAATTGTTGCCAAAAGCACCTTCACTTTTGGCTGCTTTGTACAGTACATGGCTCCTGTCCTTCCCTGTGCTGGTACCACCTCCTGCGTGGTCTTGCCATTAAAAATCATCTTTCCACCTGAGGGCAAGGGAGGAGGCTTGGGGCAGGCTCTCGTGCAAGGCACTGAGTGTCTGGACCCTGCTAAGTTCAAAGGCACCCTCCCTCCTGCCCCGAGGAGGGATGTAGCTGGCCAGAGGATGGCTGGAGGCCACACAGACGGGAAGGTATGTAACAATCCATTTATCACTTTGCAAATATTAGTGCTGCTCACATTTGCTGCAGCAATATTTCTTCTTGGAAATTGGTGAAGTGAGTAATAACAATGTTATTTATTCTAAGACCTTGGAACTGAGAAGCAATAACAGGGGGGACTGTTCCCTTGAAAGCTTCAGAGGTGCTGGAAATAAAATGGGGGGTGGGAGGGAATAGACCAACAAAGGTCTGCAAGAGAGAAAGCCATCGAAAACCTCTTGTTTAATTTTGTTGCCCCAAAAGTAATAAAATACATTTTGTAATGATTTATATATAAACAAGGAGGGGTGGGAGAAGGGCAAACATCTCAGATTCATCTCTCACTGGCACATCCTGCGAGGCAGCAGAGCTTTCCTTTCTCTGTCCTGCAGAGCTTACCCCCAGCGCCTGCTGGCACCTCAGGTTTTGTCACTAGCAAAGTGCCTCCTTCATCACAGAGTCTGCCTGTTCTCTTCCATTTCTTTTCTTCAACCCCCCTCCACCCCCTGCCTTGCATCCCTTATCTGAATATATAAGGCTGCCCTTTGCTCAGATTTATGGGTTGGGGCAGCTCTGTGTGTATTTACAGTCTCCTGACCTGCAGACCTACAGCTGAACAAGAGCAGGAGGAAACCAGGGCCCATTCCATAAACAGAGACAGATACGAGGGGGAGGCAGCAGGAATTGCGAGCAGCACTTAACATTTTTAACTATTTGGCCAAGCCAAGGAATTAGCGATTAGATTAGAGGCAAAGAAAAATGAGAAGCGGGGTTAAAGATTTGAGGAGGTGGAAGAAGGCAGCAATGGCCAAGAGTGGCCCTCAGGTTTGGTATGGGGAAAACTTAAAAGTTACAAGGATTTTATAAAAGGTTTTCCAGGGCAAAAGGCAATAGGGATGAAAGCGAATCTCCAAAGTGTTTTAAACAGAGCTGTGCTTTCCTTGGGTAAAGCTGAACAGCGCTTTTCAAGTCTAATTACCTTTTTGAGGAGGTAGATTACTTAGTCTGTGTTTATTCAGGTACTAATTGCCTCAGATTAAGTAAAAGAAAACCTGACTCGATGATAATAAATATTTCTTACATCCGTATCTATGGGTTGGTTTGTTGGCAGAAATTCGGTGCAGATGAGACATATTTCAAAGGGGCCAGAGAATTACTTGACTTCTCCAAAGCAAAGGCAGCAAAAGTGGCAACAACCTGGAAAATAAATAAATGAAATGCAATGTATGTAGGGGTCACGATATAGCATAAGTATATCAACATGATGAACAGCTTTGATGAAAATGGTAAACAAAACCACCCTCTCTTCCTGTGGCTTGTTTTACATTGCAATAAACCACTGACTCTATAACCTATCAGAACATGCTGAGATTTTATGCATCATTTCCAACTACTATTTGAACATTTGGTTTAGAGTAGTCATGAACTATAATTAATGGGACTTTTTTTTCCTGATAAAAAGCATGCTTTATTGTATTTTATTACCTGTTGGTCCAAAGCTCCATATAGATGACGTAAATTCATTGTAGGTTTTAGGATGGGGATAAAGAGGGGGGGCTTTTGGCACGTGATTATGATGAATTAATGTTCACCATTTGTAATCAAACCCAGAAGCTGAGCTTGCAATGCCCCTTCCAAATTGTCTTTGCTCCTAGGAGCAAGCTGGTAGCACCGGGACGCCAAGATTTCGGCCCAGCTCAGCCTGCCAGGAGGAGAGGGGGAAAAAAAAACGAACCCAGGCACCACAAAGACCATTGAGATGAATGGCTCTATTTTATGAGCCATAAAAGTTTTATTCATCTTGACACCGAAACAGGTTTAGGCAGCGAGTTGACACGCCTTAAATAAATAAGTGGAATTAATTCCCCGGCTCTTGAAACAATAGCAGCGTGCCTGTAACGCTGAGAGCTGCCCTGTTGTTTCCCGTTGCTGCTTGATATTGATATTATTTGTGGGTTTGGTTTTCTTTTTTTCCTCTGGGGCCTGGTTGCTCCACTTCAGATTCTTCCCCTGTTTTATTAGAGGTTGAAAAAGGTTCAAGACCTGGTTGTACCGCTGCTCCCACCGACAGCTAAGGAACCAGTTTGGCGTCTGGTTTGTCTGTTGTTTTACTGCTGACCTTCAAATCAACTTTCCCCCCTGACCCCAGGAGGCATCTATCATGACAAGAGGCTGTTTAACACAAATGGTGCCCATTTATAGGGGAAGAGAGTCAGAAGATTTCCTTGGTTGTTGGTTTGTGTTTTTTTTATGAAGAATTTGGTTTTTTCACCCCTCTTTTCTCAGTCACCACAGGTGAAATCCCTCCTAGCAGCTGGCTTATGAAATAATGCGAGGGGAGGCCTTAATGAGCTGAAAGCACCCTCAGCTGGAGATAAATATATGCAAATGAGATGCACAAACAAAGGAGCCCGGACAGAGAAATATCTGCAATTCCAGCAAAATGCTGCCTGCAGCTAGAAGATGAACAGCTTTGATAAAATGGTAACAAAAAGCACCTTTTTCTCCTCCAGCTTGTTTTACATTGCAATAGAGCATTGTTATTGTAACCCATTGGAGCATGCAGAGGTTTTCTACCCGCCGCTTCAAGAAAAAAAAAAACCTGTTTAAACATTTGTTTTTAAGGCATTCATGGGCTATGAGCAATGTGATGGCTTGGGGTTTGTGGTGGCTTCGGGTGGAGATTTTTGGGGAGGGGTTGGTTTGGGCAGGGTGGGTGTTTTGGGGGTGTCTTTTCTTCTTTTTAGCTAATTTTTAATGGGGGTTTTTTACCTGTTGGTCTCTCTCTGGCTCGGGTTGCTGGTGATTTTTGTTGTGTTTTGCAAGGGAGGGTGGCTGTTGCTGCTCTAAAAAAAAAAATCAGTTTTGCTTTCAAATTTGGAGGGAAAATCCAAGCTGACAAGTAGCGAGAAGCAGCTCGGGGCGGGGGGAAGAAGAGGGGGGGAAAAACAGACTTGAACATTCACCAAGCAGCACCCAAACAGGCAGCTTTAATGAAAGCAATCAAGCCTCTGAGCTAATTCAAAGACAGACATCTAACATGCTGATTTTAATAAGCTTTTAAAAGGCAATCTCTACCTTTTAAAAGTCGCTCTTTTTAATTTAATTGGCTTTTTTTGGGGGGGTTCATATATTGCCAAAACAAACACAGCCACTAAAATATGTTTTCAATATGTATAAGTAGCATATCTAGACAATGTTTTAAATTAGCCCTGTATTTTGGGGATGGGGTACGGGGAGGGGATGAAAGAAAGAGGCTTACTTTGGATGAGTCGAAGACATTTTCCAAGCACAGCTTGTCGTGTCAAAATAATACCTTTATATTCTCGTCCTGCCTTTATGAATCCTCCCGTGTGAATGTGTGAATATCTCTTTACCTATAGGCTTCCTCAGGAAACAACCCCAGTACTGCCTTGGAGATACACAGGTTACTTTCTAAGAGACAGACGAGAAAAAGGCAGAGAAAATACAGTGCTGTTTAACTTTTAACCTTACGATATCATTACGGATTTATAAACAGAGCATAAACAGCATAAAGTTTAGAGGGCCCTTTACTCAAGGCACTAACCGCAATTTTTATGTCTGGCAAGAAGAAGAAAAATAGACTTACCTTTAAAAAAAATTCCCCCTTTTACTATGTTCTGTGGCTTTGGCACTTACAGATGTTAGAGCAGGCAAGTGTCGGATTTCCCGATGTCAAAAAGATTTCCTAATTTCTCATAGACTTCTCCTGTTGCGTTTTTGGCCCGATGTGAGAGTCATGAATTTAATTTGTGGGGCTGCGTGCTGGAAATCGGGATATACACATATGTGTGCTTTAATGAACCCTAAAACCTAATAGAGAGTTTTAGGGATCTAAACTCTCTGCCCGCAGTTCCCCCAAGCACAGGATTTCAAGAGTTAATAAAAATTTGGTATATTAGGAAGGCTTTCTTTTTGCAGCCCAGGTTTCTAGCAGCATAATTATGTTCAACTGCTGTTGTTTGAAAAGGGCAAACAGCATCTTAGGCACAGAACAATGAAATTACAGCTGAGATTTAGGTTAGCAAAAGCCGTCTTCTGCAGGCTTTTATGATTCATTATTTCCCATTAAATACAGTATTAGAAGTGTACACCAGATAGCTCATGGTTGCTGCGCTCAGAGCACATTATCTATATTACACAGGTCTGGGGAGCAGAATTAGAAAACTTTGGGGGAATGAGCAATATGTGTTTGCTGATAGAAGTACCATATGGCTCATCTTCCTCAATTGCTTTCATTGCGACTCTGATGCTGGAGAAATTAAAGTTTTATTTGATGTGGCACAGCTTAATGAACTGTCTTCTGTTAGGAAAATTGAATATGTTTCCTGTTATTTGAGCACAGAGCCCTCATGGTTTTGGCTGATGAGGGATGCATTATGTATTGTTTATTTAGCATTTTGAAAACAAAAGCAGATATTGGAGGTAAAATTGATTACTGCAGGATGTGTTATATAATCA